TCTGGTGTCAGTCTGTGGTTATTGGCTTTACAAGGTTGGAAGTAATGTCACCATGTACTACCCACTTTCCCAGACAGAACTACTATCCCACAACCCTGACAGCACGTTATTTGAGAGAAAATCAGACAGATTAATAGGACCCCCAAAACACGGGGGTTTAGATGTTTTAACAAAAGTTCTGCATGAACCAGAATTTGCTAAGGGAGAATTCCAGCTGCTCCTGCTGTAACGGAAAGTGAGGAAAAGGAAGAGGCCAGAAGATTAATAGGCCACTAATGACCAATGGCAAAGTGAGGAACAACCAGTCCACTGGCCACATGTCATTCGTGAACTGACTCCAACCAGACAAGGATTTTGAGAGAGAAGCAGGATGGGAAGTGAATCCTGGATGTTTAGAAATTTAAGAGAGAGCAGAGAGCAACTGTGTTCCTCGTCCCCGTGAAAGGAACCAATGCCTGTGCACAGTGGGATTTTGGTGTCCGCAGCATTTTTCTTTAAGCCTCTCATGCTATGCTGGGAATGTCTGCTTTAAGAAAATTTAACTGGACTATCTATGGAACTAAGTTCTAAATAACACCAGGGCTTTTCACACCTGGTGATGACACAGAAGAGGGCGCTAAGACAAAAGCACTGCTTACCGGCAGGTGACTAAGCGGCACATCCACTTGCCCCAGGAAGTCGTCTCTAGTCTGTCAGACAGGAAAAAAAAGGCAGAAAAGCAAAAAACGATAAACACCAGTCCAGTCACAATGAAGCAAAAAGAAAGATGGCTGAGTACCATTATTTTAGCCATGACTAGTTGCTACCCCTTTATCCCATCATCTGATGTCACAGGTTGTGCCCTTCAGAGGAGCATTTGCTGTGACAGTCCAAGCTGGCTTCTCAGCCCCCAGCAGGCACGTTGAGGTGCTGCCCAAAGGCTGGTTCCTCTGATGACAACCTGTGCATAATTCAAAGCACAAGGTAATAATCTACTCTTGCCAGTAATTAGTCCCCACATGCATTAAAAAGCAGAGTGAAATTACTGTTCGCCATGTCACTGACATGTTCATGTCAAACCTTGGTAGCTTTTTTTTTAATTGAATACAAACCTATAACATCTCCAGTGCTACAGACACACGCACAAAAAAGACAACTCCCTTCAAAATCAATTTATTTTGAAGCCAGACTTAAATTATAAATTGAAAATCCGACACTTATCAGTCATTTTAGTACCTTACCTAAACATGATGAATTCTAGCCATCTGATCTAGGTTTGGAAATGTTTTATTCAATGGTCCAAGGAATGAAATATTGGTGACACATGAGGTATGAAGTAATTAAACAGCATCTGTGTGACTGCTTTGTGAGCTGGTCACTGAGCTTAACGTATACTTGGTATTCTTTAATAAGACATGAATTTTCAAAATATAGTGTATTACATTCCTCAAACGTCAGCTGTTCGTCAGGGGAAACACTTTCTCCCAGATACTGTTTATGATACCAGATATCAGCCCTAGTGATTCCCAAATAACTTGCTGCTTATTTATAACCACACTATGCACAGAATTCCAGGAAGTGCATACTGCTGCTCCAAAGCCAAGTTTACATTTTTCTCATAGCAGAGCATTAAGTTTTAATATTAAATCCATATTTTATGTGATAACATCATACAAAGCCTCTGTTGGCTGGGCAGTGATGCTTATGTGTATCCTCGTAACCTTTACCTCACACAGGTCATTTCGTAACACTGCATGCAGGCAAGCGGTTGTTTCATTTTGTGAGCAGCCCCCAGAAGTCAGCTCACTGGAGAGGGCCTGCAGCAGGCAGAAAAAGCTTTACGGCCAGTCTCGTTGTTCCAGGTTTACGGGAACATCCTACCGATGGGCTGGGGCTGTCAGGAGCAGTCCCTGTGCCAGGACGAGTTCCTCCTGGGCAGCTCCCGGCCCTCGGCCGCTGGCAGCCGGTCCCTGCCGGCCGGGGACCAATCTGGGCTCGCGGGAAGCCTCCGAGTACGGCCCCGCGCCGATTAACAAAAGCTATCCCAAAGCTTCCTCTTCGGTCTTTAATGCCCCAGAGCGACTGCGAAAAGTTAGCCCATCCGCTGTTCCAAACCAGCACTTGCCAGCAGGGTTTTGTTTGGGTGGTTTAGTACCTCTGTTTCTGAAAAGTCAGTGAAAAGATGAACCTACCGCTCGCTACAGAAGAGACTCACAGACAGTTTCTTCTTTATTTTGGGTACCACATCTCAAACCAACACGTACTCCTCACGATCCATTTCAATTTGGAATTAAAGGAGGAAAACAGCCCACTTCAGAATAATGATATTTGAAAGTAACAAATAAGCTCATAATTATTTGAGTTCATAAGTGAGCATTATTTCTAAAACCTGGTATTTATTCGGTTTTACAAAGGAGGTAAAATCTCATTTCAGACACTGTCCTATTTTCCCGCTAGCTCTCTCAACACAACAGGTGATCACTTCTGGGTTTTGGCAGGGACATAAAGACATCTTGTCTATTTAGGAAACCCAAATCTGCCCAACCATCTAGTTTGTTTACACATTGATATCCTAGAAAAGCAGATGCAAGAATCCTCTAATTTCTTTCCTGTGTGCTCAAACACAACAGCTATGTTGTACCATATACCATGTTGTTAAAACCCATCACAAACTTCTGAAAGCGCCTGAAAATTTTACCATGTCCAAACAGGGGCCTTTCGGCTACGCAGCAAAACTTGATCAATAGGCACTTAAGTAATTAAGACTTTAATTCCACGTCAATGAAGCTGTGGCAGTGACATGAAGCTAAAACATCAACAGGCATGATACTCTGCGTGGTTTAATGCTGCCACCTGAGATGTAATACCTCAAACACCTACGCACTGTTACGGTCTCAGTGCAGACATCTGACTGTGAAACAGCGTGAGCCCTACGAAGAAAAAAAATTAAAAGACACAAGAGAAGCTGTATCGCTGTGTGTTGACACTCCTCTGTGATGTGGAGGTGAGTCCTGGGGTGATCAGCTGTGGTTATCAACAAGCCCAGAGAGGATTTCAGAGGCTTTGGTTCCCTGGCCAAATACCAGATTGGGTAATAACACTCCACCCACCTACGATTCCCTTGGCATTTCCAGATGATCATGATGTTCCCAGCTTCCTGACCTAAAATTATTCCCATACCAAGCTTTTATTAACATTGCATTATTACAGAAGTAAGGCTAAGCTTTTTGCATACGGACCTCGTGCTTTCTTTCTCACTGCCAAGGTTTAGGGCTGGGCCAGCCCCTGAAAAGTAAAATCCCTGAACAGAACTGGGTCTGTTTGACCCACGCCAGGACGCTTACTTACAACAAAGTAGGAATTAAAGGCAAGAGGAGGAATAGTTAACACTAAAATGATTAGATTAGAAATCATCAAATTAGAACTAACTGTACCTTATTACTACCAGATTTATTTATTAGAACTTTTATATAAAAGGTAGCATTGTAACGGATTTCCAAATACCGACAAAACAGGTAAATATTCATAAATCTAAACTTGGCGCTCTTAAAAACACAGCCAACACAGAGCAGCAGTTACCTCAGTCCTTGCGAGCTGCCTTCGTACTTGGAAAGGCATTGCACTGGGAAATGTTTGTCTCGTTACCAGCGCTGCCTTCCCAGGGAGCTACTGCAACAGCAAATCAGACACCCTGCGTGTTCCCAGCCTCTCCAGATACCAAGATCTCTTGCGGGTGTCCTCTCCAGATTTCACAGATCTCACACTACCCTGTCTGTTAGAGGGGAATCACAGAAACACACTGTTAGCACCTCGCTCCTCACAAGTCCACGCTGTGCTCTCGTCTCGGCCGTAAGCTGCAACGTGCCGATCGCCTGCCCGTGCCAGGCCGAGGCGTGAAACGGGCAGCCCCAGCCCCACCCTTTCACTGACTAAAGCCTGCTGCAGGTGGTATCTCAGGATCAACAATTTGACTGCATCTTTCCTAAACGCAGACGAGAGGGTTTCCTCTTGCTCTTGCTGCACTTTGGAGGAAACACTGGTGCTGTAGTGCCTGGCATTAAGCATCCCAGTAATGTGAAGTTACTCAGTGGTTTTGCTCACCTGGAAGGCATACAGTTTAACCACACAATATAACAGAATAAATTTTGGTGGTTGTGGTTCTCCCTATTCCAAATCTGTAAATGAAGGCAGAGCAAAATACAAAGACCAGCTTATTTCCTAAATAATTACCTTCTGTTATTCATCTGTGCAAAAATAAATAAAAGTTTACTGTTCACAGACGTTTAATACAAGAACAGTGCCAGTTACATTTTCATTGCCACAACACTTTCTCTCTCAACTCAAAGCCAGGCCTGCTGCAGGGACGTGTTAATGCCAACAACGCCGTCCAACTATGGGCCAGCTCTGCTGAATTTCCAATTTACACGGCTTCATAACGACTTGGAAAGAGCAAAGCAAACCAAGGTACGTCAGGTGCATTACTAGATTCTAAGAGACGCGTACGGGTCATTGCGTGGGCACTAAGGACAGCCCCTAGAACAGTGCTGCGCATCAGAAGGAATTTATTTGCATTCGGCCAGATCTCTCGCATGTTAAGACTCAATTACTGGAAACCCTCTGGTGTAATTGCCATCCCTTACAGGGAGTTAATGATAAGAGACAGAATAACTGGTTCCCAGGCTACGACATACACTTGCGCATGCTTGCTCGAGACAAGATAAAGCCACGCAACATGCACGCAGAGGCCCTTCATGAACTAAACGAGGACGAACAGACATCATGCTTAAGGTGCAGCTCCAGAGACAAGGCAGGAGGGCTCCAAACTGTCACAGCTCAGTGGAAACAGTCTATTTCCTAGCAAGCATGGACAAACACAGCCACTCAAGCCTTACTTAGGAGGATTACGTGAACAGCAGTACATAAGCATAAATTACTTAAACTCTAAAATATTTCTCTTGTGTTGCCACTGCTTATTTAAACGTACTAAAAACACCGGGCACCTATGCCAAGATCTGACGCATTCCTAAAACATGAGTAACATCCAAAAAAACTCCGGACAATGCCAGGGAAAAGACAGCAAGTTAAAGATTTATTCCATTCATTATAATAAAATGGCTTCCTGCGTAGATCCCCATTATAACTAAAGGTATGACACGCAAGAGTGCTGGAAATGGACTTGTATTTCCTGGCTCTAACACTGGTCACAGTTATAAAAGGCGCGCTCTGTGACATGCGGCAAGAGCGAGTTCCTGCTATTATTAGTATTACCGCGCTACGAACAGCCTCTGAAAAGAGGAGAATCCATTTTTCTTTAGATACTGAACAAACCAAATGGGGCGTAAGTAAAGGAGCAGCCTTGGCAGGAGGAGGGAGCTGACGCCTGAGTTGTGCGAGGATTTGGAAAACGGGAACAGAATCAACGGGCACAAGTGAAAGAAGATTTTTGTGCATTAAAAAGCACAGAATTCAGAAAGCAATTAAAGAATTTGAGATGAGAGGCTAACTTGGTTAAGTCAGAGCACAAAATGAAGCCAGGTTTACAACAGGAGGATTGTTCCAAGGAAGAGAGGCTGGTGGCTCTCCAGAGTACAAACAACTGCATTTTACTTCTTGGAACTCTGACAGAGGCCCAGAAATTCTTCTTCTGCTCAGACTCCTGTTCAGCATCGCTTCCTGCCTGGGAGAGAGCAGCCCCCAGGAGGAG